AAATCCACATTTTGTCATTCTTTTCTGTGCCCAGAACACCCATAGCTGTACACGTACTGAGCACCTGCTATTGACTTCACAGCAGTGTAATAGCCCTTCCACCCCATCCTGAGTTAGGTTCTATAATCAACACCTCTGACATGTAGGGGTCCCGGGGCACCAAGGGGCAGAAACTTCAAGATTACAGAATTATTCAGCAGCAGTGTGCTCCACTCAGTTACCACGTCTGCTCCATGTTCCTTGGTTTCTCCATTTCTCATTCCTACTGCTGCCTGATGGAGGCCGGCTTACTGGGGGCTGGTTGCCTTTCCTGGCCAGTTCTGAGACCTGGACCCTTACTCCACTCCAGTTTCCTTCTTGTTAACACTTACTGGTGCCAAAGTTCAGTTCTTCTAATACTCCACCTGCTCTATTTCTGGCCTTGTCTCTTTCTTCCCTGTTTATGAATTAATATGAAGTGTTCATTTGCTCTCCCAATGTCACTGTCAAACTTATTCCTCTTCCACGGAGTCAGTATGCTTTCTTGTGTAACAGGTGACTATTTTCAAGAGTATCCTCATGTTGAATAATCTTTTATCAGTTCTTTGCCTACTTAACTGTTGGATTAGCCTGTAGTTGTCATCAGCTTGTGGGGAATATAGAAAAGTTATTCTTTTTTTGTTTACATTTGCAATCTTGTATGCATATTTAACATGTAAAATATAAGTAAACATAATAATTTAAAACCACAATTTTCAGGAAGCACAGTTGTGTACTACTCAGTGACTACATCCTGCATGCCAAGAATCATGCCAGATGCTATGGAAAGGGGTGAGGGTGACTCACACAGACCCTGCTCTCCAATGGCCAGTCCTTACTGGTAGTCAAGGATGTCCATGAGCATGTTCAATAAAAACCACATGTTTTTATAAAACTACATATTTTTTTCTTTCTTTTTTAAAATATTTTATTTTATATAATTCTTACATCGCTTTTCATTTTTTGCACAATGTATGCATTTTCATTTTGGTTATATTCCCCATACAATTGCACCTCCCCCTTATTTTTACCCTAATCCTTCCTCTCCCCGCCCCTCCCCGCCCCTGTAGTGTGTCTTTGGTTTATAGTTGCTTGTTGATTTTGATTTTTACTTTGTATTTATTAGTCTTTTTCCTGGTCCCTTATTTAAGTTTTCTAAATTCCTGCTATGAGTGAGACCATCCGGTACTTTTCTTTTTCTTTCTGACTTATTTCACTGAGCATGATCCCTTCTAGCTCCATCCATGTTGCTGCAAACTGCGTGTGTTTATCTTTTTTGATAGCTGAGTTATATTCCATTGTGTATATGTACCACATCTTCTTGATCCAGTCATCTATTTTTGGGCATTTGGGTTGTTTCCATAGCTTAGCTATTGTAAATAGTGCTGCTATAAACATAGGGGTGCAGGTGCCCTTTGGAATTAATGTTTCTGTGTCCTTTGGGTAAATACCTAGGAGTGGAATTGCTGGATCATATGGAAGCTCTATCTTTAGTAGGTCCAGAAATCTCCACACAACTCTCCATCGTGGTTGGACCAGTTTGCACTCCTACCAGCAATGCAGGAGGGTTCCTTTTTCTCTACAACCTCACCAACATTTGTTGTTGCTAGTTTTTTTTTTATTTTTTTAATATGTGCCATTCTCACTGGCATAAGATGGTATCTCATAGTAGTTTTGATTTGCATTTCCCTGTTTGCAAGTGATATTGAACATTTTCTCATATGCCTGTTGGCCATTTACATTTCCTCTTTGAGAAGTTTCTTTTTAGCTCTTCTGCCCATTTTTTGACTGGATTATTTTTGTTTCTGTTGAGTTTCATCAGCTCTTTGTAGATTTTTGTGATCAGTCCTTTATCATCAGTGTTGTGTGCAAAAATTTTCTCCCAGTCGGTGGGGTTTCTCTTTGTTTTGGTCATTGTCTCTTTTGCTGTGTAGAAGCTCTTTAATTTGATATAATCCCAGCTGTTTATCTTTGCCTTCACTATCACTGCTTTGGGTGATGTGTTTCAAACTATACTACAAAGCCATAATCATCAAAACTGCATGGTATTGGAACAAGAACAGACACACAGACCAATGGAAATAAATAGAAAATCCAGAAATAAACCCACAGATTTATGGTCAACGAATTTTTGACAAAGGAGCAAAGAATATACACTGGAGCAAAGAAAGCTTATTCAATAAATGGTGCTGGGAAAACTGGGTCACTACACTCAAAAGAATGAAGCTTGACTACTGCCTCACACCGTGTACAAAAACCAACTCAAAATGGATTAAAGATCTAGACATAAGACCTGAAACTATAAAATACATGGAAGGAAATATAGGTGAAACACTTCATGACATGCACCTCAAAAACTACATATTTTTAAAATAAAAACAATAAATAAAATAACAAAAAACAATAACAAACTGCATGTTTTTATAAAAACTATTGCTTTTCATAAAAACTGCATGTTTTATTATACAGATTATGTACAGACCTTTCACTTCCTTGGTTAAATTTATTCTTATTTTATTGCTTTTTGATGCTATTGTGAATGGGATAGTCTTTTCCCCCTAATTTCTTTTTCAGATGTTTCATTATTATTATAAAGGGATTACCATCAGTTGGTTTTATATCCTACAACTTCAGTGAAGTTGTTGATTAGTTCCAACCATTCTTTTGGTTGACTCTTTGGAATTTTCTCTACATAAGATGATATCATTAGCAAATAATGACAGTTTCACCTCTGTCTTTCTAGTTTGGATGCCTCTTATTCCTTTGTCATGTCTGAATACTCCAGTTAGGACTTGCAGTAGTGTACTGAATACAAGCAGTGAGAGAGGGCATCCTGTCTTGTTCCAGTTTTTCTCTTTTGAGTATATATTAGCTGTGGGCTTCAAGTCTTTGAATTATAAACCTTGACCTGCCTGTGGTTGGTCAGTCTCTTTTCTGGGTACTACTATCAGAGTCTATTTCCTGAATGTTCCTTTTACTTTAGCATGATTCTGCTTAAAATAACACTGACTTAAAACAGTAAATTTCCCCAGCTTTTGTGCACATTCATACATGTAGATGTGTGTACATTCCAAGCTTTTATCTCTATAAACCTTTATTATTGCAACTTAATATTCATTTGATACTTCCTACTTCAAGTTTTAAAGCTTTATGTCTACAAGTGCTTTTTATTTGATGAGATTAAAAGCTCTGTATGTCTGAAGTCTAATAAACTCCTTGAAACAACCAGAAAAATCTCTTGCTAAAAGTTGATTGTCAACTGACTATCTTACACAGCCTTTTGTGTGACATCACCAAAGGTTATGTAGTGTTTGGAGATAGGGCATTTGTTGAATCCAATTAAGTTGAAGAAAGTTGCTACTTAACTATTCATAGTGGTCAGTTTAAAGCTTAATGTAAAATGAAGAATATTCTTTCTTTAAAGGTTTATTTATTTATGCATATAAGAGCTGGGATACAGGCCAGAGATGTAAGGAACTGAGAGGATTCACCAGAGACAGAGTGGGGAACAGAACAGGCAGACTGACTGAAGTACACTGCTGCAGGGAACAGTGGGCGAGACAGGAGAGGTCTGCTTCTGTTTTGCCAGGTGGGTTTCTCCCTGGCTGGCCGGGGATCAAACTTGTGCTGCAGAGGCTGCGGACAGCTTCACAGTGCGGTGCTCAACCCCTTGTGCCACCAGGGAGGCCCAAGAGTATTCTTTTTATGTATGCCCAGTGCATACCTAGAACTGCCTTGGGGTGTATTCCAAAATTCAATAGCTAGCTCTCTGAGGCTAGTATAACTTAGTTGTACTGACAGATGTTAGGGGAATTGGCTCAAGTGTATAATCATTGTTTTCTTTTTCTTGGAGGGCTAGGAGAAGCATGGCACAGGCTACAGACTGCTGGGTACTTAATCACAAGGGACAGTGAGCTCAGAAGTACCACAAATCATTCCAAAAGTCCAGTGCAAAAGTCCATTCGTAAGTGATTAGCTATTAAGCAAAACTGAAGGAACCTCATTGAAATAATTGCAGATACATATACTCTTGTTTCCATAGAAACAATCCATTTCACATCCAGTGGTTACAAAGTCTTGTTCATGTTCCTCCAGGGCAGAGATATTCTAAGTTGGTGCTGTCCTGTTCTTTCTCACCTGTGGATGCTGAGTTCAGGGGGGCGCCTCTCTTCCAAAGGACATTTGCCCAAGGCTCGGGGGTTGACCTTGGCAATCTGATTACCGGTATCTCTCAGTTCTGTTGCTGATATTGAAAAAGAACTGGCTTTCTTTCAGGCTAAATGAGTCCATTTTACCACTGATGTACAATGTTAGAAGTTACAGTTTCTATTTGTATAAATTTTATGCCCTCATAATTGAAACCACAATTCCCTGACTTACTGAAATGTTATACTTTGGGGAGGTATAGGAGTTTTAAGTCTATGATAAATATCTGTGTCTCGAAGTCACAGTAGCAACAATAGCAGCAATAAACAATATTTTTTATTCTCCTTGGGTGTATATACTCTCCAAATCTTTGTTCTGAGTTGCATTGCTTCAGAACAATACCTTGGAGGCCATGGAGTAAACAATGTGAGCCCATCTCTGATATTGCTCATCAATTGGGTTTATCTTTATAACAAAACTTTGACATTAAATTACTTAAGCAGTCTCTTATATTTTATCTTTTTATATCTGCTGGATAATCAGGTTGACTTATGTTGTAATGCATCTTTGTAGTCATCTGTCACTGGCAACTTGAAATATATAAATGTGCTATTTTCCTGGAACTTATTAAATACAAGTAAGATTCTCTCATTCTTTAAAAATCTTACAAAGGTAAACAGGCAGGGTTTGGATTAACACTACAAGGCAAATCCCAAAAAAATCTGCCCCTTTCTGATAAATCTTGGAGGTGTTAGTGTTTGAGTCATTCAGCGTTGAATAATGCTTTCCTTTGTCTCTCCAGCAGCATATTAACATACATGTATTTTTCTCCACAGTAAAACCAACTGTAATTGATGTCGACATCTATGTTAACAGCATTGGTCCTGTGTCATCAATAAACATGGTAAGAAATCATTTTCTTTTCTGATCTGACAGCCTTTACATAGATCAGTTCTTGTTTGCATTCGCCTTCTTGTGGATTTCTGCTCGTGATTTATCATGCAGGTTTAAGACTCATAATTGACATCCTAAATCTGCAGCATTTATAGATAGTTTAAATGTTGAACATGGCAAAAAATCAAGAACTAGAGTATGACACTAGCAGTGAGACATTGCTCTAATGATTAAAAGTTTTTAGCACCCCTATCATTGCACACACATATTAATATTTACTGCATGTAGAGTTCAGCTGAGATTATTTGCAATTATGCAGTTGTTGGCTATATTGGAACCCTAAGGGAGAATGTAAATGACAACTTTTTGACTTTTAATACCTTTTGTTGATCTCCAAGAGGTCTGCCTTATTGTGCTTCTTGAGAAAGGATGTGAAATTACCCAGATTATGCTTCTGGCTTCAGATTCAACTCTGAGGGTAAATAAACTGCTTTTTATTTTTAATAAACTGCTTTTTATTTTAATAGGAGAAAGTGTGGGATGAAACAGTTATATTTTCAAGGTGGAATATTTCTAGACGTAATTTTCGCATTATGAGAGAAGGCTTTCCCAGTTTCTTTGTGTGTGGTTATTAGGCAAGTGTTGGTGTGTTGGTGGGATACCTTGATGTGACATGTGCCATCAGGGGTGGCAGAAGACAGCTGCCTCCCCGCATTGGGTGGGTAGTCGACCAGGACAGGCACTTGCATTGCAGACCCCATGATGGTGTCAGGAGGCCCCACCCCCAGGGCTTTCTTTGTACTCCCCACTGCACATTAGCTTCTGGGTTTGGAGATGCATGATGCTGAGGGTGAGAACTGCCAAATGTCTATTTAGATGCTTTCCTTTCATTGCAGTGCTGTGTGAATGGAAAGAATACCCCCCACCTCCCAGTCCAATCAGTAGCACAATTGTTTCTTTTCATTGCCAGTTTTATAAAGTGTTCATTTTTTCTCTGGTGGTATAAAAGTTCCGAGTAAGGGAAAATTATTTTTATAGGTACTACAGTTTTTAAAAAAAAAATCCTCATAAACCAAAGATAGGGCATTGGAAAAGAGGTGAAATAGATTACAGAGAGTTCACTTTATGCCACCTATGGGCTGTGGATCATAAAATGTAAATGGTAAATGCAACATCTCCTTCTCCTGATAAATGACTATAAAGTCTGCAGCACAAACTTGCTGGCTGCTAGTTTATTTGTTTCTTATTCTGGAGTTCCATTTTTCTCCCTATCTGTTGCATAACACTGGATTCCACACCTTTATGTCTAACACTAATTTATGTTTCACGCCCAAAGAAAAAAGTGTCTCCATAGATATATAGTAACAAACTTATTTTGGGAACAGGTGCTTGCATTTTTTATCTGGGGATTTTCATGAACTCCAATAACTTTGAGATCTATTTTGTGTCTAGTTAAGCTCTGCTTTGGAATTGATGGGGATTGCTGCCTAGAAATCCTAAATTGCAGAGGAGGAAGCTGAGTAAGTGACAGTCTCTCAGGAGGTGATAAGGACTGCTAATGGCAACAATCTCTGGGATAGACTTTCTTATGAGGTTTTTTTTTTCCATCTGAAACTTGACTCATAGGCAAGAGTTTGCCAGGCAGGGCAGTGTGGGAAAGTGGACCAAGGCAGGACAACAGTGTGACCTGATGGGGGGATGAGGGCTAATATGCTGTGCCAGGCCAGGGGGGTGGGTGCTCTGGGAGCAAGCTCAGACCTGCTGGGGGCTGGGGCTTTGCAGTCTCCATGAGGAGTTAGCCTTCCTCTTGAGGTTTGTCCTAAAGAGATTCTGATGTTTGGGAAGCATGCAAACTCACTTCCCTCTGAGATATGTACAGGTCATACTTCACGAAATTTGTTGAGATCCCACAAGATATCTACCAGATCTCCTTTCTCCCTTTTAAAGAGAAGTAAACTGCATGCGGTAGACCTGATATGCATAATGGAATACTACTCAGCTATAAAAAAAGATGAAATCCTGCCATTTACAACATCATGTATGAACCTAAAAGGTATTATGCATAGTGAAGTAAATCAGATGAGAAAGACAAACAAGTAGATTTTACTCATATGTGATATATAGAGAAAACAAACAAACAAATGAACTATAGTCCGATTTGGGGTTACCAGGCGGGCAATTTGGGTAAAAGGAGTCCTTTGTATGGTGAAGGATGGAACTGCATTTGTAGTGGTGAACTTAATGGAGTCCACACAGATGTTGATTTGTAATGATACACACCCGAAATATACAGTATAGTGAAATGTAAATTCTATAAAATATATTAAATAAATAGAATTGTTAACTCTGACCCTCTATCAAGGGGTAAGTGTCCGAGGTATTAGAAGACCTCCAAACCAGAGGTGAGTCCTGAGGCAGATACAATTAAGTTGTTGGTGTTAGATTTTTAACAACAGTTCATGAGAACTGCCTGTTCTGTTCCCGTCTCTGTCTCTGGTGAATCCTCTCACCCTCCCATGCATCTGGCCTGTGCCCGGTTCTTGCATAAAAAAAAATAAATAAATCTTAAAAAAATAAATAAAAGCAGTGCCTCTGAATATCTTCAACATTCTAAATAACCAGAGGAATGAATGCCCAACACCATCGAGCTAGGTCTCAAAGGCTTCAGAGGCAGAAGCTTCCAAGTCATTTCTTTCTTTTTTTTTAATTTAAACTTTTTTAAAGGATAAACTTTTCAGGGAAGTTTTAGTGCACAGAAAAATTGAGAGGAAGGTAGAGAGATTTCCCATACACATCTGGCCCCCATTATGAACATCGCCACTGGAGAGGTACACTCGTTACAATGAATAAACCTAGATTGTCACATCTTTATCCCCCTAAATTCACATATGGGCTTGTTCTTAATGTTGTACCCCTTCTGGGTCTGGACAAATGTATGGAAATAAGTGTCCACCATTATCATATACAGTTTAGCTTTCCTGCCCTGAATATCCTCTATGCTGAGCTGCTTCTTGAAGGATGAGTGTTTCTCACCTTTGCCTGCCAAACACTTTGCTTGGAAGTCTAAATGAGAAAGGGTTTCTTCTCACACTATTAATACATCATATAATCTATTTTTCCTGTCTACGAAATACCGCTCCACAGTTTCAGAAGAATGCTAAGTGCTTCAAACTGGACTTCATGAAAACTGCAAGCAATTTAAAAATAGAGAAATTACCGCATCAGTGGGAATTGGGGCTTGTTGGCAGTAATAATAAAAAGAAGATGAGAAAACAAAAGCAGTCAGATTAGAGAATTTATTATAGACAAAAGACACAACCTAGAGATGTGTGCAGGATTTAGGAATGCAAATCTGGTTTGGTCTTTTGACCATAAAGCTAAAACTTGTTACAAGTGATGTTGGCCTCACCTCCAAATATTCATTTTAAACTATCAACAAAATAGAGAGAAAAATGACAATTTCTTTTTTCTCCTCCTCCTTCCCTCCCTACCATTTTTCTGCTTCTTATATTGATACAATTGATACTGAAGATTCAGCCTCAGACATTCTCCGTGATGAATAAAAATGATGCTGCATTTCAGTTGCTAAACAGATTGATTTTCATTGTCTTGTTTATGCTTTTTCTAGCTATTGAGGAGATTAGACATGGTTTGGATGGGTGGAGGAGACTCTTCTTTTACACAGTTTTTATCACATCCTCTATCTTTGCCATTTTGCAACTCATCTCAGTGTGCAGGGTTCCTTATAGAAATGGTGGTGATTTGTTCCAGGATCTTGGGAACTTCATGGAGGGGGGCTTTTAAGTTTATTTCTGAGAATGTTCACTTGAAGCCTCCTTTTAGAAAAGGAACAAAGACAACTATTGCTTTGATATCTATCCTATTGACCTCAGCTCATTGATCTTTACTAGATCACAGTGGTGAAAATGGTGCCCTCTTCCAACTATTTGTGATGAGTAAGGTGAATCTCATGGAGATGGGGATCCCAGAGCCATGTTTCTACCTGCTCCCCATGGAGTTTTTGTAGTCAATAGGGAAATGCAGCTGTAGAGCTATAGCTCTAATCTGGAAGCAGAGAAATGAGATGAAAAGGACTCAAGGTGAGTCTACGGTTAGGATTGCTTTTCCTTCAGAAAATTATTAGGTAGGGGCCTCCCTGGTACTGCAAGGGGTTGTCTCAGCACTATGAAGCTATCTGCAGCCTCTGCAGCAAGAGTTTGATCCCCAGCCAGGGAGCTGACCCACAAGGCGCAGCAGAACTCTCCTGTCTTGCCCGCTGCTCCCCTCAGCAGTGTATTTCAGTCAGTCTGCCTGTTCCGCTTCCCACTCTGTCTCTGGTGAATCCTCTCACTACTCCCCCTGCAATTCTGGCCTGTACCCCAGTTCTTGCAAGCATAAATAAATAGATATTTTTTAAAAAGAAAATTATTAAGTAGACTTTATCAGAGCAATTTAATTTTTCTCCCAAGTTTATAGACAAAACTGACATAGGACATTATCTAAGTTTAATGTATACAGTTGGGTGAATGATATAAGTATATATTGAGAAACAATCACTACTATAATGTTAGTTAACACATCCATCACCTTTTATGGCTACCATTTTTGTGTGTGTGCAGTAAGAAATTTTAAGGTTTACTCTCTTAGTAATGTCAGGATACAAGGTAAATCATCCTTTATCCCTCTGAGTTCTAGGCTGGCAAGTTATCAAATATAAGACATATCAATAAGAGAAAAAGTAAAAATAATAATAATAACAGCTATACCTACTGTGTATAGGGGAAAGACTCAGCATGACAGCTTCAGATGTCACTGTTACAGGGCAGGGAGAGGGGCACCCCAAGCCCCACAAACCTGTCTACTCTAAATGGGTTTTGCCATCACTGCATCAACACAAAACACATGAGATTTTAGTGGGAAGGAACTTTAATACAATTAGGAAACAATACAGAAAAGACAAAGAATCTAGTTTCTAAATCAAGCACCCAAAGTTACCCGTCCCATCATGGG